ATATCTTTGTTGTATTGTTTTGGTGGATATCGCATTGCTTTGACTGCCTGATTATGTACACCAAGACAAAATCGGATTCGTTGATGGAACTGATCAAAAGGTTCCCGAGTGGAATAGAGATCCAAAGTTTCTTTAGTCGTTACATATCCTTGTTCGTGATTGATAATAGCATCAATCACGCCATCGCGTATAGCCTAGATGGGGGAAAAGTGAAACCATTGAAGGATGCATCGGCTAACAAAAACAACGGTTATTCTGACTGAACACAAGAAACCGGCCACACATTTAGCACATCTCACTAGTGAATGTGGTTGCTGTACCAAACATCAAAACGATGAATTGTCAAGCGCACAGTCCGGATTGACGTCCGATTGAAAATGTTTGAGGTCTATTGAGAAAGTGGATACACGTGTACTATCCACCGATTGACGATACTTATCTCTCGAGAATGGGAGAATCCCAAATTCCCTTGGAATTACGCCTGATGGGCGTGTCTCAGTTATAACCAATATAGGTCAGTGTGGGTTAAACCGTTTGGTTGCTTTTGGCACATTCCTGTAGTGGATGTAGTTAGGTTTCGCAACATCAGGGACACAATGTAAGTTTGGCAGGATCATAATTAAAATCAGTTTGTTTTTCTCATAAGGCATTTGGTTATGTCATATCACTATGCCGAATTTTATTAACCTGGATTGTTTGGTTACGGTGAAAATGTGGAGACCCAATAGAATGGGTTAGTAGCATTTTGCGTATTGTCAGCATTCCTGAACATGCTGGCACTCTTTGATTCCGTGGGCAGATCTGCACAATGGACTGCTAGTTCACTTGTTTCCGTGCTCAAAGCACTGTACCAACCGGTGTGTCAGAGTTTAATGGCATTCGACCTTGCACCACTGCTTAACCGGGTGGATTGTTTTTAAGCGATAGTGCATAATTTACGACCTAGACTAGTTAAGGGTTAATAAATCAATGGAATTGGGCATAATGGAGAATTCATCATGATACCAAATCACACAGATATACTGCCTTGAGGCTCGCAAGTGCGAAATTCATGTATAAATCTTTGTTGGAGGTATTTGAACGAGATACATCGTCCGCCCATCGCTCGCTACTTCATGCATCGGAGTTTCGTATTTCTATTTTCGCGTTTGTTATTTAGAAATCTCGGCCGGATAGCGCCCACTTTGAGTACCAACTGTGCAATTGTTGCATAAGAAGTCAAAGAAATTCAAAAGATTTCTGCAACTATTAAAGTGTACTTAATATAATATGAACTAACTTCAGAAACAAGAATTTTTCATTTTACATGTAAACATGGTTTGGAAACAAAAGAAAGACAGGGTCACTCTGCTAACTCTGTGGTGAACTGAACATAGTAAACATTTTGCAATCCATGGAAATCTTTGAGAGAACCGATAGCTGTTTCATCCAGTTTCGGACTCGTCAGTAGTGCGTACTTTTTTCCCGTCAGGACTCGAACCGCGAACATTCGGGTCGGAAC